GCGCGCGACATCATCTTCTACGAGTGGCTCTTCCTCGAGAAATTCCGCGAAGACGAGCAGACGAACGCGAATCGCGATTACACCAACAACGGGCACATTTACGCCACACCTGAAGACGAAGCCACCGCGGCCATCCTGGAGCAGGACACCAGAGGCAAATTCACAAGAGGCGATTGCCACAGCAACGATGACGACGACGACTATTCCCCTGGAATCGGCGGAGCAGGAGGAAGCAGCAGAGGCGCAGCACAGCCAGCACCAGCTGAACCAGAGAGCGACGACGATGACGTGCAGGAGGTCATCCCGCAGCATCGCCACGACATCACCGTTTCTGGACTGCAGCTTCTCGGGCTCCACACCGCCACCTCAACGGCGCCACGTGTCATCGAGCCGAAGAACCCGCGCCAAGCTCTCACGGGACCACACAGCAAGGAATGGCGTGAGGCGATGGATGCAGAAATCAAGGCGCTCGAGTCTCGCGATACCTGGGTGCTCGTCGATCGCGCCGTAATCAAAGGGAGAAGGATTCTTTTCGGCAAGTGGGTCTTCCGCGTGAAGACTGCAGCAGACGGCACGATCGAGCGGTTTAAAGCTCGTTGGGTCGTGCGCGGGTACGACCAAAGGCACGGCATCGACTTCGTCCAGACGTTTGCGCCGGTCAGCCGTCACACCACCGTCAGAATTCTACTCGCAATCGCCGCCGCAAGGCACCTGCCACTTCGCCAAATTGATGTGAAGAACTCGTTTCTGCGTGATCTGTTAGTAGATGCTGTGATCTGCGTGGAGCAGCCGCACACATACGGCGAAGGGGATTCGCGCGTATGTCAGCTACGAAAATCCCTTTACGATATCAACAGGCGCCAAGGCTCTGATAGCTGTACCCGCTGCCTCACGATCACGGGATGTACCGCCGCGATTTCCGCGAATACATCCTGCTCACGGTCTACGTCGACGACCTCCTTTACACAGGGCCAAGCAACGAGTTGCTTGAGCAGTTCAAGAATAATCTCGCGGTGCGCGTCGACATCACCTACAACCATGGCGTGAAGCAGTTCCTTGGGCTGAACATCTCCTACTCGCCAGAAGCCATTCACCTCTCAGCAGCCAAGTATGCAAAAGAACTTAGCAAGCGCTTCAACATTGCGCCTGCACCACTCTCCACACCTTACTGCACTCTGGGACCGAACCACAAACCTGACAACAAAACCCTGTCCCCCGCTGGACTCGACACTTACCAGCAGCAACTAGGATGCCGGCTCTTCGCCTCTGTGAAGACACCTCCAACAGGCCAATCTCCTGGAACTCACAAAAGTAGGAGCTGGTTGCCCTATCATCGGCAGAAGCCGATTTCATCACAGCAACGGCAGGTGTTCGCGAAGGGCTCTACCTACAGGAGCTGCTGCAGGAGGCGAAAATCCCATCTTTGCCAAACTTCCGCCTGCACTGCGACAACCAGAGTGCGATCAGAATCGCGAACAAGCCAGGATTCGTCAACCGTACCAAACACATTGCTCTGTGGTACTTCTTCGTCAATGACGAAGTCGACAAGGGAAGGGTTGACCTGACCTACTGGCCGACGGGTGATATGGCGGCTGACTTCCTCACAAGGCGAATGCCACGTCAGCAGTACCAGCATTGCTCCGAACTCAGCGGAGTAGTCAAGCGGGTCAAGACCTGCTACGGTCAGGAGTGAAGGGGGGTGTTATGAATAGTAAAAGATGAAGTGTTATTGTGCACTCCTGACTGTAGCAATCGAAGCATACAGTACTGAGGCTAAAGACGAAAAGGCATAAGTGACATGAAGAGTCGTATGGTTACGAAGCATCTGGACCGTCAGGGCAGACAGCATCAGGCAACAGCAGTGGCGAGGATTCTGCCCGAACAGTTAGTAACCGTCTGGAGTCGCACGGTTGGATTTCACAGCAATAAGGCAATGTACCCCTTAGAGTACATGGCTAGTCTAGGTTGTTTCGTATTCCCCTGTATTTGCATGTTTTAACCATCTCAATCATTTTACATCCACTCTGAATTGAGGTCAAGGGCCTACCACTACCAGTCAATTATGTGCGAACCTTCTTGAGGTGATCCTAGGGTTGATCAACTTTTGATCGCATCAGGGTTTTTATGGGTTCGATTTCAGGTTGGATTCCGCGTCGCGCTCATACAGTGCAGATGTCGCCCACCGACAAATTGTGATGTCACCCTGTTACCATATTGAAAGTAGTGGGCAGTATGCGATGGCGATCGATTGTGGCTGTTACAGGTGGCGCGATTTCGATTCCCGCTCTGCCAATCGCATGATCGATGTGACAATCTTCGTTCGCACGATCTTTCACAGGATCGGTGAAAACATGATACATAGATTTTACGAAATGGAGAAGTCACTGTACATTGTGCACACCGATATTTCACAGGATTGGTGTTGCAATTGTGACGCATCATTAAAATGTTATGTGACTGGAATGAGCACTGAGTATCGTGATTTCGAAAATCTGTTCGTGCGGGAGTGGTTAGGTTACGGTACATGTACTGTACAGCATTTTGGTTGGCTGCATGCCAGCGACAACAAATACATGTGTTCTCGTTTGTATTCCGACGGAATGAGACGCCGCGCGCGGACTATGTGCGAAAACCTTCAAACCCCGGGCAAAATGCGATACTTATAGTCCCGTTCAAGAAAATTGCACGAAGAGTGGTTTGTTTGCTACTGGTTTTGGATTTCATATTTTACGTAGATTCGGACCACGCTTGCTTCAACTTCTCGTTGCACGGTTCCCCGCGCGGATCAATGTCCGTATGACTAACGGGAAAAACGAAACAAAATAAGATATGGTTTGGGGGTTGAATAGAAGGTAAAAACTTCAATTTTATCCTGTAAGCGACATAAATGAGATGTCATCGTCGAGCGCGCTGGAGACTGCGCGACAGGATTGAAAAGTACTCACGGTCAAGAGAAACAATTACTTACAATCCCAAAGTTAAATATCGAATTGATGATCCCTTATTTATCGTTTTCCCTGAATGTTGGGCTGGTTCGATCTGGAGCCTCTGATTGGCTGCGGAGCTGATTCATGCAATGATTCGGTCAAGCTGCAAAATTTCCTGCCAAAAAGGGACTATAGGGGCTGGGCCAAACCTAGGCGATATCGGAAAACTCTACTCAAGGGGGAAAAAGGACTCTTTTAGCGAGGGCCTCTAACCCGGAACATTTGTACCTGAAGTGGGTGGCATTGGTACTGTAGCTAGCAGACTGATTTTGGTTTCCATGAATCTTCTCCTCCTCCCTCCCTCCTGCAGCAAGCAGCTCATCCACTGACAGTCAGCCTTTGTTCAAAACACTGTTGAAGGCCGCCTCCTCGGGCAAACTACAGTACTACAGGCTAGGCAACCTAAACCCTAACGTGCGTCTGCTCCGCGAGTGAGGGTTTCGTGTGATGGGTGGGCCTTGCGTGCCTCAGAGCGTTTCAGTGCGATGCTTTCTGGTCGAGTCTGGTCTAATTTGTTGTTTTCAAAATATCTGGGATGAGTAGTCCCTAAATATGGGCAAATATATTGCACTGCCTGCGTCAGCACGCAGTGCAATGAGTCAGCGGGCAAGGAAACAAATAAAACCCACTCGGAAGGCATGCCATTCGGGAGGCATCAACCCTAAAATTGTAGGGTTGAGGCTCCCGAACGGCATGGAGTCCGAATGGGTTTTAGTTTTTTTTTCCTGCCCACGGTCAGCATGCTGACTCACTCGGTAGCGTCGTCTGGCGGAACGGTAGCGCTACCGAGTACTACCGACGCTACCAAGTGTAATATATTGAAATTGTATGGGTGCCCATAAAAGGGACATGGGAGGATATACCTCAGCCGACGAAAACTGCCGCCCAATTTCGCGGTTGCGATAGGACAACGGCCCTCCTCGGGATTGACGAACTCCCGACGACTCCGAGTGGCAAACTGGGGCGAAATGGCAGACCTGACACCTCGGGACTGTCGACGATCTGACGACCTCGGGTTTCGCTGAGATAAACCCGAGAAGGACATCTCAGCGGACACAAACTCACAGCACGACACGTCGAGCCGCGATTTCAGCGCGGGAACTCCACTGCGCGCCCAAATTTGTCGGTGGCCGATCCACGCGGCGAAGATCTGTCCGTAAAAAAATGTTACAGTTGTCTGGCATCGCGAGTTGCTCGCCATGTCGGTGTCGACTAAGGATCCAACGGGATTGTCCGGACCACGAAAGTCGGCGTCGACCACGAGGGCTCACGGTGGGCTTGCCACGCGGCTCTTCAATACCTCCGTGCCCTTAGGCAATGGAAGTCGGCATGTCGGCGTTTCTGCGTAGAGGCACCAATGATGGGCCCACGCCACGTAACGCACGCACATACCACCGTGGACGTGCCCAGGCTTACGCCCCGTGAGTGCAGCGCGGCGACCCATTAGCCATGCATGGCTCGTGGCACGTCGGACACTGCGCCGCCGCACGAGAACACATGCATAGCGGCACAAGCATAGGGGGTTGCGTGAAGCGCGGCAAAATCGGGAGTCGCTCACGACCATACCCCTCCGTGACCTTGCGCTGGTGCTCATTCCATTGTGTGTTCCTGCGTTCCTTCCTGCTCCCTCTTCCACTTTGAATTTTCCTCTCCCTAGCTATCTTCGCGAGTGTGGGTTACTCGTGCGCCGACCAATCGATCACGTCGGCACCGGTAGCGTGTTTAGGTAACCGATCACAACTAACTAGGTCGGCAACGCATGTCCAGAGCACGGCCTAGAGCCCAACAGCCGCAACCCATCCCACCCCCTGCCGACTCTGTAGACGCCGACATCAAAGCACAGCTGGAACGCCTCGAGCTCGCCGCTGAGTTAGAAGCACTTGAGAGAGAATCCGACGAAGACGCCTGAGCAACTCATCGGGTGTACACCGCACCCGCGACTCAGTACCGTCTCTGGTGGTCCATCCCTTACCTCGAACACGGTCGACGGTATAGCAAACTACGAGCGGCCTCATGGCAGACGTCGACATGCCCGACGTTGGTCCCCCAACCGACCACATTGACACCTCTACCCCCGAAGAGACGCTCAAGTTACTCTACGATCTTGACGCACTGACACAGATTCCAGAAGGGGAGTTCACCAAGGACATTCCCCCACCGCCGATAGGAGAGTTTACCAAGCCAGCTAGTAAGTCCACACCGACGCAAGATGGGCAGCCTGGACCTTCGTCGGTACCGGGCGGCTCAGGAAACCAGGTTGATGATGAGGAGGAGGAGGAGGAGGAGGAGGAGAGCGACGACGAATACGACGAGCGTCCTCCGCGTAGCACGAATCCGCGCACCTTGGAAGAACGCCTCCGGCGGGAACTTGAATACATAGATGACATGCTAGAACAGGACGAGGACGAGGACGAGCAGAACATGGCGGTGCCACGCGAACAGTGGAGAGCAGCAGACTTCGTCGAGGACGACATGGTTTACGCAAGCATCGACGTGCTGGTCATAGACGCCCTACGCCACCTGCAAACCTTGGAGAAGAATAGCACGCTGAGGCTGTACACCTCGTTCATCTACCATTACAAGAGGTGGGCGGCAAAAATGCTGACGAAAATACGCGACAAGCTTCCCCAGGAGCACAGGCTTAGGCACGTCGACGAGATCGGCCACTACATCCGGGACAACAAGAAGAAGAATTGGGACAAAGTGGCCGAGGTCCCCCGAGAGTACATCTGGCTGCATGGCCCTAGGGTAACCGAAACCCGGCTGCGCGCCTATGTGAAGTTCATGATACGTGAGTGTCAGCTCGATGCCGAGTCGATCGAGGAGGGGAACAATGCCCCGCGAACCCAGCCGGTGCAAGGTACAACGGTGCACACGCTCCTCGGGCGCATAAAGGCATGCCAGATGGCGGCGAGAGTGGAGGCGACGCTCTACCGGGAGAAGGAGCTGAGCATCATGCGGGAGATATCGGTGGTCAGATCGGAGGTGCGGTTCATGGTCCGCACCAAGAACGAGAGGGACGTCAAGTAAGTTTGTCGACGCCGCCAACCTCTGTCCACGTCACTATGAAGTCGACGCCGTCAAACTCAAAATACTCGGTGGCTTTGTGGGCAGGAATTGTGCCGACCGGCGTCGCGGCACCATCGGCGATACATACACCGCCGAACAGTTCCGCCAGATCATGATGAAGGTGCTGCCGACATGGGCGGCGTCGGCGTGGAACCCGCGGGCAACCGCTCCTTCGCAGACGCTGTGGCGATTTCTGCTCACCAAGGCGCTCACGCTACTCTCCCACCACACTCTCCTGCGAGGCGCCAGCATCCGCGAGATCACGCTCCCCGACATCTTCTTGTACCGACTGGCTAGCACCTCGTCGATAAACCCGGAGAACCAGCCGGTCGTCATGGTGATCGCCGCGCGGAACTCGAAGACTTCCAAGGATGCCCGTCTTCAGCAGAGCTACGCGGCGCGACACCTGGAAGCGGAGTTGTGCGCCGTCGGCGAGGCAGTTGTGGACGACCAACAAGGTGTTCTGCAAGCAGAACGTGCACGCCGCTCGCGCCGGAGGTGCGCAGGAGCTAGCCATTGAAGGGACGCCTCGCGCCGAGATCGCCGAGCTGGGTCACTGGGCACTCGACAAGATGACGCGTGCTTACATCACAGCCATTCCCGTTGGGGTGGTGATGAAGAAGGCCGGCTACTCGGGTTGCAAGCAAGACTACTTCTTGGGTCGCAGCAGGGTCGAGCCCTCCGACAAACTCTTGGACATCATCGCCGAGCACATCTTCCCCGGCGTGGATGCTCTGCTGCGCGATGTATGTTAATAGACGCCGACAATGACCTTACGTCGCCATTGCTTCGTTGGCTGCCCATCGCCTTACTAACCCACATCACCTGCCGATGTGCAGGCGGAAACGCGAGCTGCCAAAGAAGGGAGCGACGCCGACAAAGCCGCCGTGCACTTCTGGCGTACCCTCCAGATGATGCGCCGCATCGTCGCCGAGGACCTCGCGGTGAAGCTCGTCCGCACCCCTTGGCACCCGTACGTCCAAGGTTCGAAGCTCTGCCGGATTGCCCTCTTTCAGCACTAGACGAAAAGGGTCGAGAAGATCGACACCGAAACGATCAACAAACGCCGGGACCCAACCCTCATTCAGGCAGAGGTAAACCGTCGCTAAAGTCGGCGTCGTCGGGACCCTATCTGTTACGGGTGTATTCTAAACAATTTTCGCCTTTCCGCCTTGTGCTGCAGGAAATCTCCGTTCGCTTGGACACCGAATACCATAACATGTCCCTCAAGGAGACGCTGAAGTACGAGAGGGAGCGCGCCGCGGTCGAGAAGATCGACCTTCAGGATGAACTCGAGAAGCGCGACGATACCATCGCGACGCTGACCGCCGAGATAACCCGTCTCACTGAGGCACTCCGTGTGTCAGAAGCACGGAGGATGCCGGAGACGCCGCCGTCGGGGAACGAGCAGACGCCGAGCGAGAGTGGCTCCGCGGATTCGGCCAGTCCGGGGGCCAGAAACAAGAAACGGTACGAGAAACCCCCACAGACGCTCGACGAGGCTCGTTACGAGCTCAACGTGGTGCAACCTTGGCGGGAGTCAAAGACCGTGAGGGACGCTTGGCGCCTCTGGAACTCCGCCACCGCCGATGACACCCGCCGTCTTTGCGATAGGGTCGCCGAGCCGGGATTCGTCGACCGCCACACCCTCCTCAAAGGCGCGACGCAGGGTGCACACGACATGAAGGTGCGCCGCATGCTGAAGGCCATGGATACGGTGCGCCTTCTTCGCTCGAGCGACGGCGATGCCGACACCGAAGCCGTCGTCGCTGCCCTGAACAAGATCGCGGCGCCGGGCATCGGGACCTTCTGCGATGCCCTCACGGTGCTCAAACCGGGAACCGCACCGACGAAGTCCAAGGAGCCCGGCATGGGCGTCAAGGGGCTGGGCCCCAAGTCGGTCTCGAAGCTACGTCTCGCCTGTGCGCTGGTGGCGGTCAACTTGAAGCCGACCGCTTGGGTCGCCGTCCTGTTTCCAGACACCTGGGAGGAGCAGATGCCGAAGACCGTGGCGGACATGGAGCGGCAGACCGCACCTGTGCTGCGTCCTCCGACGAAGCGCAAGAAGGCGGCATGAGTACCTTCGGAGCATATGCGTGCGCGTAGTTTGATGATGCTGTAATTGTGGTCGATTGCACCAAACCATGATGCTTATTTTGTTCATGAAGTTGGTAAACGATGGTCATACAACAATGCCCATGCGAACATAGATGATCCAACAATGGTAACTGCAGTCGGTCGCCGACCAACAAACACCCCGAAAATACTTGCAGACAGCCAAACCCTCTATGTCGACAGACATCCAACGACGCCGACGTATTTTCGTACTCCGACATATACGCCGACAAAAATTCATCCCCGAGTAGCATTTGAGTGTGCAATTCAGAGGGTAGCGATCAGGTCGACATCTCCGACGAGGGTTCTACATGTCATGCACTACCAAAAAGTTACATGCGCTACCACATAAGCAAACACAAACAAAAAGTTACAAACACTAAAAAGGTTACAAACACACTAGCAATCAGACCACCTCGCGCTCCCTCCGCGCGCCGACTACGCCGCCGTGCTGTCCTTGCCCTTCTTGCCCTTCTTCCCCTTCTTCCCCGTGCTGTCCTTGCCCTGCTTGCCTCTCTGCCCCTTCCTCCCCCTGTGTTCAATGTCGTACTCCATCTGCGCGTCACACGGCACCGCGATGCCGATCTTTTCGAGTTTCGGCCCGGCGACGGGGCACATTCCCCAGAACGCCAATGTCTCCACTGTCGCTCTAGCAATCACGTCGGCTTCGACTTCATGATCCACCCCCGGGTAGACCCGGTGCAGAGCGAGACTCTGCAGCGCCGGCGCGACGTTGTGCGCAACCTCCCCCAGGGGTTGCTCCCGGTCGATCTCGGCCTCCAGTACCGCCTGCATGACCTCCTTGAAGACACCGGCGGTCTTCTCGCTCGCACCGACCACCATCGCCGCCGCCTTCCCTTCGCCCACAGCATCGACCACCTGGGCGTCGTCGTTCTCGACTAAGCACCACACGGCGCAAGCGGAGGCCGATAACGCCTGTGCCGCAATCGCCGTCTTCTCATCAGTGTCTCCCTCCTTCCTCGCCGCGCTCGCAGCGACCTTCCCATACGCAGCGCACATGGACACGCGACCTATCATGGCCGACATCATAGCATCCGACTTCTCCTGGCCTTCCTTTGTGACGGCATCGACGGGGAACCAGATCGCCGGCAAGAGCGCGTCGTGGTGCGCATCGCCTGAGCTCTTGTACGCTCGATACTGGCCGAGAATGTCATCGAACCTGTCACACAATCACATGAAACCGAGCGACCATTAGTGACTCCGACATCGTCATCAACACTCGGCCGAAAGGGTATCCGACTTACCGTGTTTTTGGAAGGTACGCGCCCCGTGCCCATATCACCGTCCACATCCCTGTCGGCAAAATCTTGACCTCCTCCCACACCATCCTCCACTTCTCCAACTCGGTTTCCTCCAAGCCGGTGAGCTCGGCCATGAGGACCTTGCTGACGTAGCCGTCGTAGACGATGTACGCAATCGAGTGCAAGTACGCCAGCTCCATCTTCTCGCGCGATTTGCCGATGTATCGATTAGCGCCGAGCACCTTAATCTCGCCCACCCACCCAAGACCGTCGCCCGAGTTGTCGTGGCGGATGCCATGACCCTTCCGTCCTTTCTCCTTCTCCTTCTCCTTCTCCTTCTCCTCCTTCTCCTTCTCCTTCTCCTCCTTCTCCTTCTTCTCCTTCTCCTTCTCCTTCTCCGCCGCCTTCTCCTTCTCCTTCTCCTTCTCCTTCTCCTTCTCCTCCGCCTTCTCCTTCCCTTTCTCCACCGACTTCTCCTTCGCCTTATCCCTCCCTGTCTCGGCCGACATCGCCCGTGTTTTCCTCTGAGAGCTCGCCCTCCCTTTCACTGTGTCGGCCTTCCCCTTCCGTTTCGACTCTCCATCGCCGACAGCATCAGTGGTCGTCTTTGGCTCCGCTGAACCAGCGGGGGGATTCGCCAAGGGCTCCACATGCGCCGTGTCCGAGATGGCCAGAGCAGCGGGGTGCCCGGGGCGTTTTACCGATTCCATCAGGTTCTGGATGGCAGCGATGTCGGCGTCGTTGTGGCCTATCGACGCCTGTGCATGGTCAACGGCTCCGCCGCCGGTGGCTAGCGCTGCCCTCACGCCCTTCTCCGCCGCCTCGTTTACCGACGTCGGCGTCGCGCTTGAGCCGGCTTCCGGCCGAGTCTGTGCTGGCGCTGCCGCACTACGTGCGCCTAACCGAGCGCGAAGCAATGCGGACTTTGGGTCCGCAGTTGGATGGGCGGCGACCAGAGGCGCGGTATGTGGGGCACTGGGCGTCGTGGCGGCGACCTGCGGAGTGACCGTGCGGCGTGCTGCTTCGGCGGGGGCGGCATCGACCAAGGGAGGCTGCTGCACGTCCTTGCGATGGGCCTCCATGCGGTGGAGCATTTCCCTGAGCGCGTTCGCCGCTGCGGGCACCTTAGAGGCGGACGGACCGTCGCGGTTAGCCGCAGCATCCTTCGCGTCGCCCTTGGCGGCAGAGGGGCCCACTGCAGCTGGAGTAGCCACAAGGGCCGGCCCATCGTTGTTGGCGGCTGACGGGCCGACCGGCGCGCTGCTAGCCGCAGGGGGTTTTCGGGGAATCGACGTGGTCCCCGCGACCCCGACAGACGGTCCCTTGACGGTTCTGGCGCCGCCATCTATCGCCGTTTGAGCGGTTGGGATCTCCTTGTCGCTCAAGCCTTTCCCGCCGTCTTGTGCGGCAACCTCGTCGGCATGGCCCCCATCTGCACTCCCGATTCCATCGCCCTTGCTGTGCGACCTTATCACCTTGGCCCCGTTCTTCTTGAGCTGGTCGACCACGCTCTGACCTCGAGTCCGCGAGCCGCCTGGACCCACCGCGCCGACGCCGCGGCCTCCATCGGCTCCCTTGCTCCGCTTCACGCTCCCTGCATCATCTCCGCCGCCCGCCCTTTTCCGGCCCTGCTTGTCGGCCTCCCTTCGTTGCGCGGGATCGGCGTCATTGGCCGACGGCGACGACGCACGCCGACCAGCCGCCACATTGCCGATCACCTCGGTCATGAGCTTTAACCCGGACGCAACAAACGACTGCTGGGTGGCCTCCGTCACCGCCTTCAACACGTCCGCCTTGAACGACTTCATGAGCTCGTCCGGGAAGGCTGGCGTGGGCTGCGGCGGGGGCGGCGGCGGCACGGCGATGGTGCGAGTTACCGCGGCGGCAATGTTGGCCTGCGCGGCGGCTAGGTGCTTCGAGATGAAGTCCTCCAAACCCAGCTTCGCATCGTCCACCACCGCTTCCACGTGGTTGCCCAAGGCGGCGACCGCTTTTGCGCGTTCAACTGCCATACTTCCCTCCGGACCGTCGATTTCCGCCAACCACCTCGACGCCTTTTCGGCGAAGGACTTCATCGCCTTCCACGATTCGTCCATGTGATTGGTGATGTTGTCCGTGATGGTTGTCGACACGGCCGACGTCGCATCTAGCAGCCGTTTCGCCGCATTATTGTCGGAGACGGCGACCTGGTCGGCCAACGACTGGAGCTTGTCGAGGAGTCCCCGCATCCCCAACACAAACCTGTCCACCCGACCCCTTTCATCTTCGAGCGCCTTCTCCATACGGGCATTTTCTGCCGTCAGTCGCCTGTTCTCCTGTCGCAGCTGCTCGAAGACGTCCAGCGGTGCCTGCCGACCAGATGCGGAGGAACCGGGATGACCGCGCGCCGCCTTCTTCACCCTAGACCGCTCCCCCCCGGCCTTCCCTGCGGTGGTCTCGGTAGGCGCTTCCACGCCCGTCGGCTTCGTGGCCGCGGCGTTATCCCCTTCTCCAACGACCTCGAGGTCGATAACTTCCTTCGCGTCGCCATCCACATCGCCGACCACGACCTTCTCACCCCCCCCGTGAGCCTCCTCCACGCCGACTTTCTCCTCATCGGCATCCTCCCCTCCCTTGTTCACAACATCTGCCGACCTCCCAGCCGTTTCCGCCGCTCCCTCTACGTACTCCACCTCCATTTCCTCTAACTCCCACTCGACCTCTTCCTCCTGCTCCCCCTCTTGCTGCTTCTCCGCCTCCTCCGCCTCCTCCTCCTCCTCCTCCTCCTCCTCCTCCTCCTCCTCCTCCTCCTCCTCCTCCTCCTCCTCGTCCTCCTCCTCCTCTTCCTCCTCCTCCTCCTCCTCCTCCTCCTCCTCCTCCTCCTCCTCCTCCTCCTCCTCCTCCTCCTCCTCCTCCTCCTCCTCCTCCTCCTCCTCACGATCCTCATGGTCCTCTTCCTGATCCTCGTTATCCTCCTGGTTCTTCTCCGCGGTCCCAGTCACCGCCCTTCCCGCCTCCTCATCTTCCTTGTCGACGCCGCCTACGGGCTCTCCGATCGAAGTCCCACGCGCATCATCGATGGTGTAGGCGACACCTATTGCTGTGGATGCCAAAGGGGCCTCCTCGCCGTCGTCATCACAGGCGTCGGCAGTAAATCCGACATGGCCCGACCGTTTGAGAGCGACGTGCTCCTTGACGAATGTTATCATCCCATTCCGCAGCCCCTTCAACCCCGAAACGTTGACCTTGTCCATGCTGGTCTCACTGCGACGGATGGCGCCGGTCAGGAGATCCATCCTCCTCACCACCCAGCACAACGCGCTCATTGCTAGCAGGCCGGAGCCCGCGTCCCCGTCCCGGACGGCGTCGGGCACTTTCTGCATACAACAGTTCAGAGCGCAAGGATGAGCACCGCGTTCGGCAATCGCATCGCGCAAGGATGACATAGGACGGTGATTCGTTCGGAACTCACATCTCGAACGGGTTGATCGCAGTCGGCGAGCCTGTCCTCCACCTCTTCATCGGAAGGCTTCGCCCACTCCCACTTCCTACCATCGCACCCAAGCTCGGCCAGGACCGCCGCCCGGAAAAACCTGAAGCAACATGGCACAGATTGTCGGTAAGCATGGTTTACGCTGCGCGGCGAAATTGCATGCGTCGTCGACTACACTATCGAGCTCACTTCAGCACGCGGATCGCCTCGTCGCGGTGCCACTGCTTCACGGTCTGCGGGTCAAAGTGCCGGATCGAGGTCCTGGTCTTCTCCCCCCCACCCTTCAACAGGTCGCCGGGGTACAGGATGACAACGATGCTGCAATGTGCTCCTGGAAGCGGTGCGATGCTGCACAGGCAAGGCACGACGACGTCGTTCAGAACAGAGCACCGACATAGGATGCAACACACATCGTGACGACTTCTAACCAGCTCACCTCGAAGTCAAGGGGATAACCGCTACGTCGGCGTCGAAAACCGTCGCAAAGCATGTGTGGTCCGCCCGACCCATCGCCGCCCGAAGCCGGCCGAGTCCTATCGACCACAATCGCATGTTGGCCGGCGCCGCGCGAGTCCATGCGTGCCTGCACGCATGCATGGGAATAAGGAGTGAGTGAGTATGTGCACGACACGACGGTGGATACGTCGGTTTAGGAACCGCCGACCGACGGGGATGGCAATCGTACGACGGTGCACCACCCTCGCGACGTTGTAATCAATTGAGCCGACCGATGCGTGCCTAATGCCTGTGCCGACACCGACCTACTGTCGGCGTCGACGTGAACTCGTAGCGCCGCCTCCGACGTGGGACAACCCTAACACCGACGCTGCGTCGACCAGCAATGTAAGAAGATGTCGACGCCGACATCCACATACGCAGACTCACTTGATGCCGAATCCCAAGCAACGGGCGTTGAACTCTAGCCTATGGTCTACGAGGACGGCGTAGTCGTGTTCCTCGAGCTTGGCAGTGAGTCCACTACCGAGGTCGAGATACAGAGGGAAGTCCTGCACGGTCGGCGCCGCTTCGCCGGCTTTCGGGTCGGCCTCCATTGCGTTGAAGGGAATTGACTGCAGGCTAAGAAGGGACGAGAGTGTGGGAGTAATGTTGAAAGTGAAACGAGATGCCGAAAATGAGGAGCGATGCCTCCTTCCGCCAAGGAAAGGGAGTCGGTGCCCCACAGGCCGGTTGAGGCATCGCCCAGGGTTCGTGGTGCCTGGCTCGGCAGGGTTTGGCGGGCTGCATGCACAAGCGCTCCTTCGCCGCCGAGCCAGCACGTCGACTTCGCGTCCCCCGGCTTCGCTCGGCGAGGGGACGCAATTTCGCATGCGCGCGGTGCCTCGTTTCGGCCGACACGTGTCGACTTCGCCCCGGATCGCGAAAACCCCGCGCCGCGATGCGAGCGAGCCGATTTCGCCGGGCTCGAAATTTCGCATGCACCCGATGCGAACCCGCGTGGGAGCACGCGGCGTCACCGCAACGGGTCGCGAAATCGTCGAGCTTCCCGAGGGGAGCACCCGAATTTCGCATGGCCCTCGCCTGCCCGTCCGGGCAGGTCGCGAGGGTCACTAGGACGTCGCGGGCAGCGGGCACGGGAGGGCTGCCTTCGCGCAAGGGTTACTTTCCCTCGCGCGAGGGCTCGCCAGCTCGCCGCCCCCACCCGGTAACGTGGGGCGCTGTTCAATCACGCAGGGGGGTTGCGGGGCGGCGGTCGTGCGCTCGGCCCGGCCCTGGGCCAGGCTGGCGGGCCCGCACGCGCGTCAGTTGCCCGCCTCGTCGGGCCCGGCTCCGACGACCCCTCTCGACGACACCAGCAAATCGGTTCCGACGACCGATTTGCGCTGGGATGTTCGGTAGAGTACTTGGCCCAGCCGAGTGAGCTCTCAAAAAAACCAGGTGAAGACTCGGCGAGCATGTAAACACACATATTGGTCGAGTCTGGTCTAATTTATTGTGTTTCAAGATATCTGGAATGGATGGATCTGGCTATGCGGCCTGCTAGTACCGGCACCTGACGCGGCAGCAAATCCGCTATGGGGAAGCCTCCTGGTGCTTGGCAGACAGCACAGCACCTACCCTTATCCAGAGTCTTTGCTCAGGCCTACTAGCAGTATTTGCCATCAGCGTATGTGGCCTCGCAACGAGATCTCGTGGCGTCGCAAACGAGGAACCAGCCGCAGCACAGGTGAGGTACCGCAAGCTTTACTTCACGAGTTTTGGTCTTACGGAACAATTGGACTAGCGAATAGTCTATATTTTTAGCAGCTCACCCCTGGCGTTCGTCCTACTACAAGTCCTAAACTTGGGGGAAGGATTTTTTTCCGTGTTTTGTACGACGCCGCGTCGACGGGCCCCACGCAGTTCGTCAGTCCCTCACCCGTCCCTTCTTGGCATGGGGCCATCCCGGTCCTCCTTATGGCTTATCTTTCATCATCTGTGCGATTTTTGAGTCATATGTGCGTCGTCCGCCCATCCCTCGCCGTCTTTGCAGGACGCCTCGCCGCGTGTGGGGTGGCGTTCGACCTTTCAAGTTGCAGACGCGCGCATCCATGCTGATGGCGGCGACGGGAGGGTGCGGGGAGAGTGGCGCGTCGAAACGAGGGAGGCCGTGGAGCAGTGAGGGAGCAGAAACGCCGCAGGGGAAGAGGAGATGGGGAGGACGGTCGAGGAAATCATGCGGGAAGTCGGCATCATCACGGCACTTCACATCATCAGCACACCATGCGCCTGTGCTGCGTGCTCTCTTCATCGTCTCTCTTCTCCTGGCGCCACCCGGGCCATCATGGCTCCTCTTCCCCTCTCCCGCGGAAACGCTCCCACGCTACTCGCTCACAGCCACCGCCGACTATCCCCACCCCTATTTCCTTAGCAATAGTCCCCAGTGTAAGCGACCGAGCGAATTGGCTGGCAAACCTGTTCCGTGTTCCGTGTTCCGTCCGTGTGAGGCACGTGACACGTTCGGAGGCACGGCTGAGAAGCCACACAGGCACAGCACAGCACAGCACAGAACAGCACACACGGCATCCCCACGTGGCTCTGTCTGTGTGCGAGTGTCAAACCTGCAGCTGTCGCATCGCATCTGCCAATCTGACACGCCATTGTCACGGCGATGCCGCTCGCTGCTTCCTGAGCATCCCTGCACTGCACTGCACGGCGCATGCATCATCCACCCAGCATGGTTGCCTTGCCGCAGCAGCATCACCATGCATGCACGCACGCACCGACTCGATCCAGGCCGGTTATTGCACCGCACCAGAATGAAATAGCAGGCTGCAATCCGCTGCACGGTCTTACTACCACCCACTCCGTCGCATCTTGATGTTTTGCCTCTCATTGCAGCGAATCTCTTTCCATTTCCACTCTCTGTCTGTTGCTGCCTGCCGCAGATGGCATGGTGCAAGAGTTTGTTGCGAACATGCCTGGCGGCTTTGCTGAGAATACGAATTGGAGCAGGCCTTGGAAGGACTGCAGGGACTGGCAGTGGAGGGAGACTGATGGTCTCATATGCGACGCCAATAGCTACGTCACAGCAATGTACTGTTCCTGTTTGTTCCCCTCCTAGTCTTGTGGCAAACGTCTCTGAGGTTTTCCTGCTGTGTGATGTGTGTGCAATGAGCAGTATTTGCAGCACATCTCACCACTGCCTAAGCTGTGCTGTTCTCGTGTGCGCACACAAGCAAGTACGCAGCACACCCATGCACACAAGCAATTATGCCCACGCGTTCATGCCCACAGACACGTGTGTGTGTGACGTGCACTCAGGCATGCCCACACACACCTCGGCCATTCCGTGCCCATGTATGATCTGATCCCCTCTCTCGCAGCTTCATCACTGGCCTATACGATCCCCTCCCGACCGTACTCTACAAACTCACCACCTTGGAGAGCCTGTGAGTGGGTGGACGCTTGAGTTGAGTGCACCGTGATTGTTTTGAGACGCCTCTCTGATCTAATCTGACCTCCTGCGAATCGCACATGGGTCGAGTCATTTTACAGAATGCCCTGTGAACGGTACTTGGTTTGAGCACAACTGGAGGGGATGGTCTGCCTGCAGCTGTGCTGTGAAGCTTTTAGAGCGAGTGCCTGTGTGTGAGCTGCTGGTTGTTACTTGGGGATGCCCATGCTCTTGATATCTGTGCATGCCCTGTTTTGCACTTGTTATTGCGGTGAAGGAGGAGGAGGAGGAGGAGGAGGAGGAGGAGGAGGAGGAGGAGGAGGAGGAGGAGGAGGAGGGGAGGAGGAGGAGGAGGAGCATTGGAAGTGGGCCAGAGTGCTGGTTTGTCTGTGTCTGTTGCCCGTGTGCGTTGCTGCAGATCATTGATGTGGTCGCCAAACACGGATCCAAGCCTGTCGCCTGCCATTTCCGACCTCACCCGCCTCACCTCTCTGTAATAGCGTGTCGTGTGCATGCAGCATGCTGCTTGCATGCAGCAGCAGCGTGGTGCTTTTGAGAATTGTCAAGAGCACCCTTCCAACTTCCACCTGGCTGGCCTGGCGCATGGCAGCTGATGCATGCATGCACAGCAGCAGCAGCAGATAGACGTGTGATGTGATGTGATCATGTGACGCCCAGTGCTGTGCTTACTCTCTCGCATGTGCATGCTTGCTTGCTTCTCTATGCACGCCTGCATGTGATGCCTGTCTCTGCTTGGCTACATCTGCCACACACGTGCACACACACAAGCACTCACGCTCGTACATGCGCGTGCACACACACACATATACACGAACACACACACACACGCAAGCACGCATTCACTCATTCACTCACTTACTCGCTCGCAGTCACACACACCTCTCTTTGTACACAATCACCTGCTTCTTTGTTGTTCCAGCCTGCCTTGCGTGGCCCACCGTTTCCCTCCTTCACCCACCCCATTGTTTCTTTCATATGTCTTCTCGGCCCCCCTCACACTCCCTCTTCTCCTCCTCTCTCTCCACCACACCACGTTCTGTTCACTGCATCTCTGCATCAGCTCTTTGACACGCGCTCAACTGGGCACAACAGTCCCAAGTGCCATTCTCACAATGACCGGCCTCAACACTCTGTAAGCAACCCCTCCCCTTCAAAGTGTCCTATTCAGAAAATATCCCTTACAGTGACCGTCCTCAGCAGCAAAGGTTGTAAGCACCGCGTGCATTCCTCCTCGGAAGCCTCTGCCTGTCTGTTCCCGGAAATCAGGCGCGGCCCTTTCCAGCAGCATGACTTGCAGAGGAACTGCGAGTGTTGCACTGCGTAAAATCAAGAACCTTCATGATCCCCTCATGCCTTGACTTGGGGCACCTTCTCAAGCAGTACCGTGATCTGATCTGATCTGATCTGATCTCCAGTTGACTGGCTTCTGAGTCGACTCAAAAGTCAATTCATTTCTATGATCTCCTCTCCTCATGTCAATTCATTTCTATGATCTCCTCTCCTCATGCCTTGCCTCTTGCTTCAGGGGCCTGCGGGATGTGGGACTCACGGGTGCCATTGCTCCAGAGATCAGCAAGCTGACTCGACTCAGCGACCTGTAAGCCCGCATTCATCATATTCATCCCAGAACGGCCTTAACTCGCGCACGCACGCGTGTGTGTGCCTGTGTGTCTGTGCCAGTGTGTGTGTGCCTGTGTGTCTGTGCCAGTGTGTGCGTGCCTGTGTGTCTGTGCCAGTGTGTGTGTGCCTGTGTGTCTGTGCCAGTGTGTGTGTGCCTGTGTGTCTGTGCCAGTGTGTGCGTGCCTGTGTGTCTGTGCCAGTGTGTGCGTGCCTGTGTGTCTGTGCCAGTGTGTGCGTGCCTGTGTGTCTGTGCCAGTGTGTGCGTGCCTGTGTGTCTGTGCCAGTGTGTGCGTGCCTGTGTGTCTGTGCCAGTGTGTGCGTGCCTGTGTGTCTGTGCCAGTGTGTGCGTGCCTGTGTGTCTGTGCCAGTGTGTGCGTGCCTGTGTGTCTGTGCCAGTGTGTGCGTGCCTGTGTGTCTGTGCCAGTGTGTGCGTGCCTGTGTGTCTGTGCCAGTGTGTGCGTGCCTGTGTGTCTGTGCCAGTGTGTGCGTGCCTGTGTGTCTGTGCCAGTGTGTGCGTGCCTGTGTGTCTGTGCCAGTGTGTGCGTGCCTGTGTGTCTGTGCCAGTGTGTGCGTGCCTGTGTGTCTGTGCCAGTGTGTGCGTGCCTGTGTGTCTGTGCCAGTGTGTGCGTGCCTGTGTGTCTGTGCCAGTGTGTGCGTGCCTGTGTGTCTGTGCCAGTGTGTGCGTGCCTGTGTGTCTGTGCCAGTGTGTGCGTGCCTGTGTGTCTGTGCCAGTGTGTGCGTGCCTGTGTGTCTGTGTGCGCGCGCACGCCATGCCGTCAATCCATGATCCATCCACCATGTGTACCTGCAATGCCGCTTCCTTGTCTGCATGCAGTGCAACAATGTTATTGTTTGAGCTGTGGTATCATGCCATGTCTCATTGCTATCTCTCCATGCTGCCTCTCAGTGCTGCCTCTCCATGCTGCCTCTCAGTGCTGCCTCTCCATGCTGCCTCTCAGTGCTGCCTCTCCATGCTGCCTCTCAGTGCTGCCTCTCCATGCTGCCTCTCAGTGCTGCCTCTCCATGCTGCCTCTCAGTGCTGCCTCTCCATGCTGCCTCTCAGTGCTGCCTCTGCCTCTCAGTGCTGCCTCTCCATGCTGCCTCTCAGTGCTGCCTCTCCATGCTGCCTCTCAGTGCTGCCTCTCCATGCTGCCTCTCAGTGCTGCCTCTCCATGCTGCCTCTCAGTGCTGCCTCTCCATGCTGCCTCTCAGTGCTATCTCTCCACCCCGTGTCTTCCCTTCCCTTCAAGTGACTTGTCCTACAACTTGCTGGCAGGGCCCCTGCCAACCGTCCTCTGTATCCCTACCCTCACAAACTTGTAAGTAACAACCACCTACCGATGCACTTCCTCCTCTCCCCCATGTTCAACACCCACGTAACCACACCGGCATTTGCCATCTTTTGGGAAATCCCTTGGTTATTAAGGAGGTGCATGGGGGCCCCACTGTATCTCCTGTGAGGCACGGCTACGGAATGTGCCAGTGTATCTCTCTTCTCCTGCTCCTGGAAAGAGCACAGTACCACCAGAATCCATCCATTCGTCCATCCATCCATCTGTCCATTCATCCGTCCGTCCATTCATCCATCCGCCCTTCGGATGTGTCCCTGCGTGCGTGCGTGCGTGCGTGCGTGCGTGCGTGCGTGCGTGGGCAGGGCCTTGAGCGTCAACCTCTTCACGTCCATCCCTGCGGCGGTCTCCGTCATGAAAAGCCTCAAAAGCCTGTGAGCGCTCGCCTTACCTACCTCCCTGCTTCAGCTTAGTTGTCCTGGCTGGTTGTATAGTCGACTCACAACAAGTGGGCATCTCTCTGCATTCCAGTGCAGTGCATTGCAGTATTGTGCAGCTGAGTGCAGTGTGGTGCGGTGCAGTGCAGTCCAGTCAGTCTGTGAGCAGTATCAATTCCTTGTTCTTGACCTCTCGATGAACAGCCTCGTCTGGTTTGCCGTCACACTTAATCTACTTACTTCCTGTGATCCCTGCAATGCAACTTTTGATGCCCACACATTCTTTCTTCCCTTCCCCTCCCCCTTCCCTCTCCCCATCCCCACTGCATACTCCGCCCCTTCTAGACCAATCTTTTCTCTGTGCTGTTTTGTGTAATCCTTTTTTGTCGTCAGTCGTTTGGATCGCAACATGCTCTCAGGGCCCATTCCTCCTCAGACGATTTTTGAGGCGCCTCAAAAACCTTTTCTATGTGCTGTTTCGTGGGATCCCTTTCGGTCTCAGTCGCTTGGACCGCAACAGACTCACAGGGTCTATTCCCCCTCAAATCAGTGTGATGAAAGACCTCTATAACCTGTGAGCATGCCTACCTTCTGTGTGTATATACTGCACATGCATGCATGCATGCATCATGCTTGCATAGTGACTGACGGACGCATGCTTGCCTACTGATTGAGGCGTCCTAGTCACATCACAGGTTCGGTCGCTCACCATTCATGAGTTTGTTACCCTGAAGTGTTTTTCCCGCTTCGACGACACCACTTCAACACTGCTCTGGTGGTCATCACGTGTGCTTCTTTGCCTTGGCCTGCCAGGGAACTGCAAGAGAACGCGCTGACAGGACCCATCCCCGCGCAACTCTCTGGCTTGCGCTCCTTGAATTACCTGTGAGAAAGCAATGCAATGCAACGCTGTCCTCTTGCTTTTGACACGCCTCAACAACCGAGCACATTTGAGAATGCTGCACTGTGTGTGTCGTGTCATGTCGTGTCGTGTCGTGTCGTGTCGTGTCGTTTCGTGTCGTGTCGTGTCGTGTCGTGTCGTGTCGTGCACCCAGTGTGAGAGGCAGCCTCCAACTAGCTCTCGAGAATTCTTAACAACCGGCAATCAGTAATGCTCCACTCCACTACTTTCTCACATCGCACGTGTCCGTGCCGTGCCTGCTGCACATGAGATGCTTGCACACCCTCACACATGCCATGTCTTGCATGCACAGCTTTGCTTATTTCTCTATGAGAAATGTCAAAGTATCTAGCTGAATCGTCAGAAGTACAGCTCTGTGCTGTGGGTCCGCAAACGTCACTGTCAGCAAACGTCATTGCCAGCAAACGTCATTGCCAGTGCTTTCTCAGATGGTGGTGGTGGTGCTACCATATGTCCGTTGAGGCGCCTCAAATATTCATGTCTGGGGCATATTCATGTCCAAGCACGTGACTGACTGCCGTTGCATGGGGCATCTGTTTGTGTCGTCTCCTTTCTAGAATTGTCATAAGTGACTGTGCTGGCATGTGTGCTGCAGTCAGTTGCAACTCAACAAGCTATCGGGTTTGCTTCCTACATTTCCACCACTTATGAAGACAATGTGAGAGCCAGCCTCTCTCTCTTCCCTTCCTGCAAGCCCACAGCTCACTCACCAGACTTCCCCTCCACGACCATCATTCTCTCCCCTCCCACAAGCTCTTCCGACCTCTTCTGACCTCCTCTGACCTCCTCTGACTTGATCTGGCTTCTGCAAATGCCATCTGACCCCTTTTGTCGGCACATGAAGAATCTACCTTTCCGCTGAAATTTCTTTGGTCCATTCTTCTGCATGAACTTGATTGGAATTGATAGATTGGGTATTGGTAAAGCTCCAGGCTCTTCAAATGCATTAGGATGAATGAGTTGGGAAGGAAGGGTATGGAATCCAAGGCATTTGCCAATCATATAAGATGAAGGCTTGAATCGGTTGGTTGAGATTTCGGTTCATCACATTTGGTAACGCTTGCTCTAAACTATGAGACTGAAAAATACATGTACAAAATATGAGATCTGAGTCTACTGCTAACAGCTCTTACTTGCCTTTGCCCTCTACTGCAGCAATCTGATGAGCAACCAGCTGGATGGAAGTGTCCCAAAGTTCACTTCTCAGAAATACCTCCTACAGCTGTAAGCTGCTCCTCCTCCTCCTCCTCCTCCTCCTCCTCCTCCTCCTCCTCCTCCTCCTCCTCCTCCTCCTCCTCCTCCTCCTCCTCCTCCTCCTCCTCCTCCTCCTCCTCCTCTTCCTCCTCCTCCTGGCAGTCCAGCCTGGCCAGTGCTCACCTCCGCGCACGTCCTTTTCTCTCTGCTCCTCTCATCTCTATGCATTGTGAACTCCTTACCTACCCCTATCAACCACGAACCTTGTTCCTGGCTTACCCACACCGGCAATCAACCACGAACCTGATAACGTGTCTGAGTCGACGTGACTGTCGAAACGATTTGCTTGTTGTTTCCATGCACTGCGGAACCTGTACCCGACGTACCAAGCCCTCCATCCAGGAACCTGGAAGTCTTCTGAGTTGACGTGACTTCCTGGCAATTCTGAGTCTCAGCTGTCGGTTCCATGTGCTGCGCTGCGGGCCCCGTGCCGTACCGTACCGCACCTACCTCTCTCATGCAGGAACCTGGACAACAACAGGCTCACGGGATCGGTGCCTTCTGGTTTCAGCGCTTCCGTTGAGAGAATGTCAGTCACTCGTGTGCCTTGTTTCGCTGTGCCGTGTGCTGTGCTGTGCTTGTTCGGAAGATTTTTTGTTTGGATTCAGTCATGCCTAGGTTTGGGATTCCAGCTTGCTGCTGTTTGATCATGTCATCCTGTGTTCGCGTATGTTGGTGTGCGCGTTTGTGCATGCGTGCGTGCGTGCGTGCGTGCATGACATATGTGTGTGGGGAGGGGGGGGGGGGGGTGCGTTCGTGCATGCGTGTGTGTGTGTGTTGGAGGGTGGAGCTGGCGAAAGAGGAGGGGGCGTGTGTGCGTTTGCGTGCGTGCTCACACATGTGATGATTGAGGCCAGTTCGTTGCGCAACAACCGACTCTCTGGCAGGATTCCTCCCAGCTTCTTCAGAGACAATCAGGCTGCGCAGTAAGCCCCACTATCCTGGACTCAGCACACACATGATGATGCCAACAATTTGCCGTCATATCAACACTACTCGTCCACATTTTTCATGGCATCCATGTATGTGCATGCGTGCATGCACCATCATGCCACCACTTCATCATGTCAACTCAACAGTTCAACTTATCACATACCAGACTTCCATGATATTGGGATCACGTTTGAGAATTCTCAAAAGCCACCACACAACTGCACTGCATCTTTATGTCAACTCAACACCTCTCATCATCTCCTCTTTGCTCCGTCCTTTCTCCTCCTCTTGTCCTCATACTTCCTGTCAAGGTCGTGTGGGAGTGTTTCCCTTCCATCCGTGCCTTTCACCTCTCCTCTCTCTCTTGCCTCTGCTGGATCAACATCATCATCAACAGCCTCATAAAACTGTCCTTCATTCATTCATGTCATACTGATCTGGTCGCCATGTGCTTCCTCCGTGCGTGCTTCCTTTCCTCTCAGCACCTCGCCTCGTCACCATCTCTCTTCCTCCCTCAACACCCTTCTCTTCTCAACACCATCCCACTTTGCGTATCCACCGCTTGTTGCTTTCCTCGCAATCTCAGGAAATTAGCAGGAAACAGTGTGCAAGCAGCCCAACTCATCACCATCGAAGCGCTGGGAGACCTCACGTATCTGTGCGTACCCCACGGACCTGACCAGCACCATTCCGTACCTGTCAATACGGGTCACTGCCGTTCTGTACAGATTCGCACCGGTGGTTAGCACCACATGTGCACTATCTACTACTCGCCATTGTTCGTTGCATGTGTTGTAACTTGCATGTGCAATGTGTTGTACCCACCTTATCAAGTGTTCCAAACGCTGGTATGCAAAGCTCTGCCTCTGTACAACATGACAAGTGTGTCACCCACCATCAGCACTTGCCATCTGTTCTCCCCAACGCAAAGCAGTGACCTTAGCTCCAACTCCCTTGAAGGAAACATCCCCGATCAGATATCCGAGCTCACGAGACTCTATGTCCTGTAAGCACTCTGCTACCCACCTCCTCTATGCCAATGGGAGTCACTTCTGAGATTTCTCAAAAGTGACTCGCCAATGCAATGCCTCTTGCTTTGTAACACCGTAATGTGGTGGATGGGGTGAGGAGGAAGGGTGGAAAGGTACGCGCAGGTATGCCTCTCGCTCCTTCCTCTCCCGCTCAACCTTCTCAGCATCAACTCACGCTTCCACCAACGGCTTTTGTTTTGAGAATTCTCAGGAGTCAGGACTGTACGCACTCTGTGACTTCTTCACATGCAGGGTTCATATCAATCAAGCGCTTGCTGTGTTGCCTGCTATCTGTGTTTCCCAACGCAGTGACCTTAGCTCCAACTCCCTTGATGGTACTATCCCCAATAAGATGTCCACAGTCACGCAACTCATGACCCTGTAAGCACTGTGCTACCCATACCCACCTCTTCGTTCCACCCCGAGGCATTGCCTCTTCCTTTGTAATATAGTGGTGGTGGGAGGGGGGTATGCAAACAAGGGTCCTCTCAAATGGCCCCCTCTCTCTCACTCTCTCTCTCTCTCAATCTTCTGAGCATGATCGGATTGCTTCAACCAGCAGGAGAGCACGCACCCTATGACTTGGAGAATTTTCTATCAATCGAATGATGAGAGCTCGCCATTATGCCATTCCATGTGTGTTCCCCAACGCAGTGACCTTAGCTCCAACTCCTTTTCTGGAAGCATCCCCGATTGGATATCCACGCTCACGTATCTAACTGTGCTGTAAGTGCTGCGCTTTTCTCGTCTCACTGTGCTGCCGGTACTGCACTTCGCAGCACATCTGTCTTCCTCTTCCCTGACAATTCGACCCTTTCCCGACTGACTGCTTGCTTGCATGATGCACCCAGATAAAGCTCCCCATCATCAAACGTTTCTACCAATCAAAGCATGCCATTCGTACTTTGTACTTCCTTCGCCCCACGACATGGCAGTGACCTTAGCTACAACTCCCTCAATGGGACCATCCCGAGCGGAGTAGGCGAGCTTGGGTATCTCAATGTGATGTATGTATCCCTTCCCGCCTCCTCCTGTGCAACCCGCCGCACTGCTCCTTCCCACCCCAGCCCTTTTTAACTCTACCTACCACTTCTTGGCGCTTTGCTCTTCCTTCTGAATTTTTAAATCGCATCCAGAGTAGCGGTTCCACTTCCTCCTAAATCGCCGTGTGCTTAAGAAAACCCACCCTCTCCCTCTGTGATGCACGCACCCTATGCGCCCATGCCAGGGACCTGAGCAACAATCAGCTGAGCGGGAGCATTCCGCAGAGCCTGTCTCGTCTCCAATATATGACAATGCTGTGAGTGACTTTTGGGGCGGGTCGTTGCTTTGTAGTATCCTTGCCTCAAGTCTTGTTGTCTCCGGCAACTGACTGTCCTTTGAGTGTGTCAATGCTTTGTTTGTAGAGCCCACACACGTGTCCTCTCACTGGTATAAGTAAGTACTTTGTGTGTGTGCCTCAGTACATTATGTGCCAAACGTTTAGTCCAGCAATGTGCTTATCTCTCTCTTCTCTGGCTAAAGCATCATCTGTTTGTTTCCACCAACCTGCATGCGTGCACCCCAATACAACTCATCGCCGTACATGTCTGTGGTAACAATGTCATGCCATGTGTTCTCCCCAACGCAGTGACCTGAGCAATAACCTGCTTAATGGAACCATCCCCGATCAAATATCCGAGCTCCAGCAACTCAGTGTGCTGTAAGCACTGCACCACTACCCACCTCCTCTGCCCTGCCCCAATGTTTTTCCTCTTCTCTCCCGAGAACGTTGCAATTCTGTGCTCATCTCTCGTTCCTCAGCCTCATTTGCTTGCATCCTCCTCTTTCCTCCTCCTCTTCCTCATCCCACAAATTGGCGGCTCATTGAATTAGCGAATACGGACCTGTTGCATTCAACTCTACATCTAGTGCTCCCTGTTCTAGCACATGTCTCAAAACTTCCCGTGTCTCTGTTTCTTACCCTCTGCGCCCGTGGCAGTGACCTGAGCAACAATCGCCTGAGCGGGAGTGTGCCACAGGGCTTGACCGGACTCACTCAGCTCACAGTCCTGTGAGTCGTCTTATGCGTTGTATTCCACCGAGTTTCAATTCTTTGTACCAGCATCTTTTGCGATATGCTGTTGTCGATGGTTGCACAATCATGCAAGTGTTACTGGGTCGCACACTCAACTACAATTGGCTTGAAAGACTAGTGAACAACATGATTTACAGTATGTGAGTGTCAATGGTTGTCTGCTTCACCACCTCCTAGTGGTGTACGGCGTGAGGAAGCGGTTCTTTGCACTGCACCGCTTTGGACCTTGATGCATCCAATTGAACCCTTACAATACGTACATCCTGAGGAAGACCATGGAACTTCCAATCCAAGAGCTAAAAGCAAAGTCATACGCTCCAGGGACAATCCCTACGCTCTCCATGCCGTGCCCTTGGGCAATCACTATCACAATCATTCATCCTTCTCACAATCACCTCCTTTTGCATTATCTTCCCCTTTCCCTTCCGTCACTCTCTTTCATCCCTATCACTACACCCCCCCTTTTCTTTACCGAGGCAGGAGCCTGCGCAACAACCAGCTGAGCGGCTGTCTGCTGCAGCCCATCCCGCCATATGTCAAGCAATACCAGCTCGACAGCAACTTCTTCTCCTGCGGCTTCTCCTCTCCGCCTGACTGCACCCAGACCATCATAGCCGTGCAAGCCAACTGCCTCGGAGCCACCTACGTGCCGCCCTGCCCCATGGACCCTCAGCGAGTGAAGGAGGTCTGTGCTTCCTTCTGCGGCCTCACTGCCACCTCGCTTCCTTGCGCCGGCCACGGCACCTGCTTCTATTCTGGTCCCAATAAGATCCCCACGTGCACCTGCAACACCGGGTATGCCAACGGGGAGGTCCCAGGGACGTGCGTGGCAGTTGCTGCTGGTGGCGTGACTCCTGCTGACTTTTCCCTTCTGACCTCAATAAGCGTTGCTTCTGGCGATGGCGGCGGCGCGGCGATGGCGGTGAGCGGAGCAGCAGCGGCGCAGGCGGATAACAGTGTGGTGCTGACGAGCAACCAGCAGGCGGCGTGGGGAGCGGCGTTCCTGGTGTCGCGCGTGCGCCTCTTCTCCTACGCTGTCAAGAACCACTCGTGTGGCCGTGAGATCGCCCTCAAGCTCTCCTTCTCCTTCTCCATCACCTCAGCCATCGGCAGCAACAACGTCGGCAAGGGCGGGCTCGCGTTTGTGATCGCAGCAAGGGACGAAATCCCTGGTGGGGACGGCAGCACACTGGGCTACTCCGGCATGAACGAGCGCAGCATTGCAGTGGAGTTTGACACGTTTCAGGATGCGAGCAGCAGCGACCCAGACAGCAGCCACGTGGGCATCAACATTGGTGGCTCCGTGGTGTCTATTTCTACAGCCGCCGTGCCAGGGCTCAACTCAGGGAGCACCAAATATGCATGGATTGAATACTCTCCGGGGAAAGGGGGCCTGCTTTCGGTGTATGTGGCCAGTTCGGCCACTCGCCCGGCCAAGCCGGTTCTCGAGCGCAGCGTGTCGCTGTGTGGCGTGCTGAAGCCCACGTTTGAGGATGCGACGTTTGTGGTTGGCTTCACTGCTGCCTCGTCTGATCCCCCCCAGAAGCACACGGTGATGCAGTGGTCGCTGGATACAGGTAGCGGTTGCTTGGTGGGCTTGGGATGGGATGGGATGGGATGCTGCCTGTCTGCTTGCCTGCCTGCCTGCCTGCCAGGAGTGTGTGCTTTTTGCCTCGCTCACTTTGCTGCCCCAGTAGGCTTGCTTGCTGCTGAAGTGTGCTCTCTCGTGCTGCTCCTGTCAGAAGACCAACACCAGCGATGCCCGATAGATTCTAGGGAAGGGTTACAGACTCGTATGACTGGAGGGTTATGGACGCACTCACCCGCTACATAACAAGTCATTTTATCGTAGTGGTCTAGTGGTTGGGATTTTGACATGGTATCGGAACGAAAGTTTCGGGTTCGAATCTCCATGTGTGCACATGTTGGTCCTAGAGCATTTTAGTGAAAAGGGGGGGTTACAGACGTAGATGCCCGATTGTTCCTAGAGAAGTCTTACGGACACGTTTGCCTGGGTGTTATAGACGTATTCACCCACTACTTAACAAGCCCATTTATCCCATTGGTTTAGTGGCTGGGATTTTGATAGCCCCCCCCCCTCCCCTTCCGTTTCAAATTGTTGTGCACGTTATTTTTCAGTCTGTACTGCTTGGATGAAGTTAATCAGTCACTCTTTTCCCTCTCCGCTTGTTCCCTTTCTCTTGCAGATTTTCCAACCCAGGACACCATAACAGGTGCGGCACGCCATGTTGTAGCTAACAATAAGTTATTCATGGTCCGAGCCAGTTCCTGCTATGTGTGTGCTGCATCAAGTTATCTCGCTTTAAACAAGCACGAGACTGCTATGCCTGGCTGACTCCGATCCACTCCAACACACCATCATCTTCTATACTTCACTTCACCCCTCTATTTAATTCACCTCCTGCCCTCACTGCACGTGTTTCTCTCCCTCCCTCCCTGCTATCCCTCCCCCATCCCTCTCCCATCTCTCTCTCCCCCAATCATGTTCCCCTCCGCCTTGCTTCCCCCATCTCAGCCCTGCCGCTGGGTTTCACGCTAGCAGAGGCCACGTTCACCACCTCAGGAGTCAACCTCTTCTTCCGCTATGCGAGTGCTGGCGCTCTTCAACCGCCCACAGGGGGAGCACCTGGGGCGAGCACGGACGAGGAGCAGCAGTGGGCAGTGGCGACGAACATGACATGGGTGCGCGCAGATCTGCTTCCCAGCTGGTCGGTGCCTAACCAGGCGGGGTGTGGTGACTGCTGGGCCTACGCTGTCGTCGCCAGCATAGAAGCCGCGTATGCCATCCTCTCAGCCAATGGCTCTCTGCCTGTCTTCTCCGTTGACTCACTTGTTGCCGACATGAAGGCTGATTGCTCCGGAGGATCGCCCTCCAAGGCCTTCCAGTACCTGCTTTCTGTTAGCAAGCGCGGCGGCGGGCTGGAGGTGCAACAGGTGGGAGGAGGAGGAGGAGCAAGGGTAAGAAAGGGCGGAGGGAGGGGTGCGACGGGTGTGGCTGTGGCAGCAGGAAGCGGCAGTGCAGTGGGTTTGCAAGGGAAACAAGGGAAACAGGGGACACCGACAGCAGCAGCGGCGACGGCAGCTGCGGCAGCAGCGGGTCAGAGTCCACTGTGCTCGCCGTTGCTGAAGCCGATAGCAGCCCTATTTGGAGTGAACTGCACACCACCCAAGCAGAGAACGGGATCCACTGTGGTGAGTGCAGTGCTCTTTTGAGACATCTCAAAGGTGAATAGCACACCACCCATGCAGAGAACGGGGTCCAGTGTGGTGAGTGCAGTGATCTGAGGCTCCTAATTGCCACCAAGAATGTCATAACCAAGAAGCATTCATTCACCTCCATTCTCACATCGCATTGCACCCGGGCTGGCTGGCATGCCACACGCAATGCAGGTGCGCCCGGGCTACAGCATAACGGGCTTTGAGCGGGCGGCATTCTACAGCTGGTTCGGCCTGGTGCTGGCGGTGCAGCGGCAGCCCGTGGTGGTGCACATAGAGGCGTCTGCTGACTCCTTTCTCAACTACGATGGGGTGAGTGGCTGTGTTTCGCCTTCGTTCCATCCATTCATCCCTCGCACCTCTACACTTGTTCAGCCTGTTGCATATGGAAGGGAGGGTGGGTGAGTGGGTGGGAGGATGGGAGGGTGGGTGGGGTGATGGGTGGGTGGGTGGGCTGGCTGGTGGGCTAGCACGTGGGCGGGCGGGTGAAGGGAGGGGGTACTCTGAAAGGCACACCTGGAAATCACTAGTCTTCCTCTGCAGTCCTCTCCTAATCCGCTTGCCTTTTGAGGCGCCACAAAAGTTCCAGTCTGCTTGATCACCAGCCACCTCCCCACCCACTCACACATTTGCATTTCTCGTTCCTGTGCTGTTTTTCTTTCTTTCTTTCTTTCTTTCTTTCTTTCTTTCTTTTTCCGCTATAGTACATTACAAGAATGCAAAAATATCAGCAGTCATAGCTGGCTGCTATGATATGAGACATGCGTTTTTCTCAACACCACACTCCCTACACGCATCCATTCCCGCAGCTACACAAGTACCAGGACCCAGCGTGCTTCACGTACAACCTGAACCACGTGGTGCTGCTGGTGGGGTACCGCCTGGTGGGGTTTGACGAAGCCTTTCCCCACATGGCGCCACCTTATTGGATCATCCGCAACTCATGGGGGCCTGACTGGGGCGATGGGGGCTACATGCGCATGGACATCCAGGGGGGGGATGGCGTTTGCGGCATCAACACTCTGCCGGGGATCTACCCCATCGTTCTTGGTATGATGATGATGATGATGATGATGATGATGATGATGATGATGATGATGATGATGATGATGATGATGATGATGATGATGATGATGATGATGATGATGATGATGATGATGATGATGATGATGATGATGATGATGATGATGATGATGATGATGATGATGATGATGATGATGATGATGATGATGATGATGATGATGATGATGATGATGATGATGGTGGTGGTGGTGGTGGTTTTTTTGCCAGAGAGTAGAGTTGAGCTGTTGTCTCGAGAGTTGCTGCCATGCTGCCATGCATTTGCTGGAAGCACGTTTCACCAAACCTAGATCGTTTCTTAGAATCCTCGAAAACTACCCAGATTAAACCAAAGGAGTGAACCAGTTTCCGCAAACGACAGTACCTTTCTGTGAAGAACGATGATAGAGCAACATGAGCAAAATACGATGCTCTCTTAGTTCAGTACCATCAAGGGTGTGTCTCTCTCTCTACACCTGTGAGAGCCAGCTCTAATCAAACAGACCAATCTAATTAAAACGTGAGTGTGTGCAGCAGTGCATTTGTACATGCTCCAGCACACCATGCTTCCTCTCTAAATTAAGCCCCCTCCACCCTCCTCCCAATCCTCTCTGTGTGACCCGGCCCCGCCCCAACCCACCTCACCCCACCCCACCCCACCGCATTCCACCCAGACAAGCAGGACCCGTGCAATGGCCGGGCGCACCATGACACCATCGGTGCCGTGTTGAACCCATGCGGCAACTTTGTGTGCTCTCTCACTGCTGACCGCAAGTCCAACCGCTGCGACTGCAAAACCGCAACCGATGGCCGATTCATTGAGGCCATCAACACCGATGGCTCGCGCACCTGTGCCTACGGTATGTATCATGCATTCCCGCTCCCGCTCCTGCACCTGTCCTGTGCCTCACCTTCGCGTATGTTACTTTTTGAGTTCTTGAAGATACATACGAAACCCGCCTGCAACAACGGGGCATATGGGGATCGCTGCTCTCCGTCTGCTTCTGTGTTTGTCTCCCACACGGCCACCTTGCCGCACACCTTCGATCCTGCCGTCCCTGTCACCGATGTGTCCATGCCTCTCGCTCACATACACACAACGCTCCCTAACCCCCTCTTCCCTTCCTCGTCACTCTCCCTCTTGATCCCCCTATCCCACTTGCTCTCTCTTTCCTCTTGCACACTCCCTCCTGCTCTCCCTCCTCTCCTACAGTGGATGCCTGTGCAGCGCAAATCCGCAACCCGTGTGCGGTGGGCACGTGTGTGAATGACGGGGCGGGGTCGTACTCGTGTGTGTGTCCACCGGGCTTCAGGCAGGGCACCACCGTCGATGGCACCTTCTCCTGCGCTCCCGGCAGCACCAACGGCACCTACACCGTCATCTCACTCAATGTCAAGTGCTCAGACGTCTTTCCCATCTACGGCCTCTCTCTGGAGCAACTCAAGCAGCAGAACCCGGTGCGCTTCCGTGCTTGCCAGATATTTAGAATAACTTCTGCGCTTCCTATATCTTCAGAATAACTTTTTATTCACGCGTTCTCCCAGCAACAGTGCATGCTGCAACATCTGGTGTTCTGCTGTGCATGTGTGCATGCTTGGGTGTATGGGTGAATGTGTGCGCGTGCACTTGTGTGCGTGCAATGCGTGTTTCTCTGTTCATTCCCCACACTCTCCCTGCCCCCGTCTGGTTTCCACCCTTTGGCCTACATGTAACAGTTCATGCCGCAGAAATTGGTGCGCTTGTGTGCTGCCAATGTGTTTCTTCTCGTATTGCTACTTTCGTTCCACACCCTCTTTCCTCCCTCGCACTCAATGACCTCCCTCCTTCCCTCCTCTCCCTCCCTCCCTCCCTCCCTCCCTCCCTCCGTCCCTCCCACCAGGCCATCTCGTGTGAAGCACCTTTACCAGTGGGCTCGGTGCTGCAAGTAGCCCCGCCCACCGCCGTTACCCCCTGCACTGTCTACTACACCACAGAGGAGGTACGTGGCAGGTGTCAGATAGTAGTTGGACGGGGATAAGTGGTGGGTGGAGGGTGGTCTGTCGGAGCTGCTAGGTGGTGCATGGTGCGTGGTGCGTGGTGGGTGGTGGGTGGTACCTATGGCATCATGGATGTGGAAAACAACAGAAGCTGCTTGTGAGTTTAGTGCGATTTGGTAATGTGGTAACATGGTAATGTAGTAATTTGGTAATGTGGTAATGTAGTAATTTGGTAATGTGGTAATGTAGTAATTTGGTAATGTGGTAATGTAGTAATTTGGTACGTGGTAAGACATGGCACCTGTGCAATTCATCGCCCGTGCTCATCGCCCGTGCTCATCGCCCGTGCTCAAGACGTGGTAACATGCGCAAGCTTCAATGTGTGCTCCGTGCTGATGGGATTCCGATCCCCACCTCGCTTCTGCATCCCTCACCTCCATTCCTTCCAGGAAAACTCCCGTGATGCCCTTGCAGCCTCTGAGAATTCCCAAAATCGACCCCGCTGATAGGACAATCCCCAAAACTCGCTGTTGCTCTTTCTGTGTATCACCCTCCCTGCACCCTCCCTGCCCCCTCTCTATCCCCTCTCTATCCCCTCTCTATCCCCTCTCTATCCCCTCGCTGCCCCCTCCGTTGCTCTTTCCCAGGGCGACACCTGTGAGGCCCTGGCGACCTACTTCTCTCTCGCCAGCACCTGCCCATCCCCCGAGTGCACGGCAGCCTTCCAGGCGCTCAACTTGGGGGTGGACTGCAGCGCCAACAGCGGGCAGCTGCCGGCGAGCCAGGCGGTGTGTGTGGAGCGGCGGGCGGAGATGGCAGGCCTCGTGGCGCTGTGCTCGCAGTATTACTTCGTGGAGAGCGCCGAGACGTGCGAGTCCATCCGCAACGTGCCCGACCCGCCTCTCTCCCGCGTTGACTTTTACCGCCTCAACCCCGGCATCAAGTGCAGCCGCCTCGTGCCCAAGACGGACGTTGGCAGCTTTACTGGGTTTGAGGTGAGCCTGGAGTGATCATATCCATTGTCCAAGGGTCCAGGGTCATCTCTCCAAGGGTGTAGTTGACTCGAGAGTTCAGACAACTCTTGAGTTGACTTCGTAATCGGTTCATCACTCCTGGTTTACGACTCACTGCCTTTGAGGTGAGGCGAGCTGTTTGATGTTTTTTTTTTTTATCGCCTCTGCCTCTCCTTTCGATTGGTTGGTAAAATGTGCTTTGCAGGCTTGTGTTGGGAGCACGGACAGTCTTCTCCAGGGGACGTGTCCCCGCGCCACTGCAATTACAATCGGCACTGGCGATCGCTGCACCGCAATACAGGTCAAGTTTTTCCGAGGTGTGAAAGGCTGCTACAGGCACATAAACGGTTACGACTGCATAGACAAACTGATTAAGGGTACAAAAGTGTGCATTCCAAGCAAGGTGAAAATAGCCAAGGGTAAATGCGAGCCCTGACGTTTGTATGGAAAAATGCAATGGGCGTGAGAAACGGGATGTTTTCTCTACCGTCATCGCCCGGATAGTAGACATATATGTCTTATCTCGTACACTACTCAAAATGCTTGGGTTATCTTGTATTTGGGATGGTTTAGGGTGTCTTATAAGTCTTATAAATAGGAAAAATATAAGTACTCTGTAACATTTGCAAAGTGTGTAGAAACCACCCACGGGCCAGATTCATTGAAACGGGACAACCTCGGTGGTGATGCATGTAGCGCCCCCACTTGCCACGTGAGGGATGCAGCAAAGCAGCCACTGCTGGCAACATCCCTCCGTGCTGGGAGCATCTAATGATGCTGCCAGCATAGTTTTGCTGCCAGCAGCGCATGGATGCTTCCAGAACGCTGCTGGCAGCACGATGGCAGTGTGAGGGCTGTCCTCTACGAGGAGATTCCTCGTAGAGGAGCAGCTCGGCACCTTTGGAAGGGACACTCTGGCTGGGGGGGGGGGTAGTCGGGCTTGAGCTTCATTTGGTGCTCAAGGAGGTTGAGATCCCAACTCAACCTTTGCTCTCGGCAGGCTTAACCATGCGCAGCAAAGTCCCCATAGACACGTCCTCACCTCACCCTCACGTGCAGGTGAATAACTAAGGGCGAATCAACTCGCCCGGTGATGACATCTGTGTAGCCATGGCGAAGAATATGCGCAAGGCAGGAACATCTACCGCCGCCTCCGGTGCGAGATGTGACAGGGACGGCGGCGACGAAGAACACGGTCACGATGGCGAGGAGGATTGGCCAGAGAACGGCCACGACGACAGCGCTTCGGTGGATGAAATAGCTCCTGCCGACATTGACGAGGACGAATGGTGGAATCGGCCGGTTGGGAGTGACGACGAAGTGGAAGAGTGGCGGGCTGGTGATTCTGACAACGACGAGGGTGCCGATGCTGATGGTGAGCGCGCGGAGGCAGCGGTGCATGCAACGGGAGCGACGGTGGATGCGAATGCGGAGTTTGACGACGAGGCGGATGCGGAAACGAGGACGGAAGAGGAGTCGGAAGCGGATGCCGATGCTGTTGCGCCCGCGGATGTGGCCACAATTGCGGATGCGGATGCGGATGCAGTGGCGGAGGCAGATACGAATGCTGTGCAGGGAGGTGCTGATGCTGTCTTATTTGACGGTGAAAACTCCGATGACGACCCGTGGAGCATCACGGGTGACGACGATGTTCCACTTCTTAAGCGGAAGCTGCGTCATCGCCTACAATCCAAGCCGAAACGCGCCCGCGTGGTGCTCTCACTATTCTAACAAACCGCGCATCACTGCTGCAGACAAGGGGAAAAGCAAGGTCGCGGAAGCCCCTGCTAAGGCCACCGTTCGTCGCTGCACAAGCGACAAGAAGCGGAAGAACGACGGCGACCCCGGATCCAGCACGGGTACTATTAAGAAGAAGAAGAAGAAAACGCCAAACAAGGGCGACATCGTGGTCAACGAGGCGCTCGGCAGCGACGATGGCTACGCGGAGGCTACAGGCCCTATTCCTTCATTCCTTGAGAAAGCGAAGCCGAAAGACCCCACCCTCCATAATCCCAACTCCCGTCCACCTTCCCCTCGCAGCAAGGACAGTAAGAAAAGGCGACGCGGATGGACCGTACATGAGAAGCTCAAGTGAGCGCGCCGCTACCACGAGCTCGGCTCCTTGAAGAAGACATACTTGGAATCTACCGCATCCATCGCCTGCATCAGACGCTGGTGTGCGGAGGCGGCTGCGGGCGTCTACAAGGGAGCGGCGAACTACCGCAAGCGGATGCACGGGGGGGGAGGGGGGGGGCGCCACGCACTACCCCGACATGGAGGCGGCGTTGTACCGTTACATCTGCCTGCAGCGCGCTAATGGGGTGGCGATCTCGGTGAAAGACACCCAGAAGTGGAGCCGCCAGTGGATGAAGAAACACCACCCCGGCAAGAACTGGAACGCGAGCTCTCACTGGAGCCAGTGTTTCCGTGACCGCTGGAACCTGGTCATGCGTGTGAAGACCAAGGTCGGCCAACGGTTATCGGCTGGTGAGTGGTGAAGCCCTTAGATTCGCGCCCGATGCTTGACTGCATGTTCCTCGCCCTTTGTTTCTAACCATCCCCTCATGCCGTGGCGTGTGTTCCCTTTGCAGAGTGCGCTAAGGACTACGATTCGTTCTGGAAGTTCGTGCGCATCAACAGGGCGCGGCACAACCTCGACCTTGCCTGCATCATCAACGCGGACCAGACGCCACTCTTCGTTGAGATGCCGGCCGAGAGGACGATCGAGCACCGTGGCACGCGCTCGGTCCCAATCCGCACTGCAGGATACAAGAAGACACGGCTCACGGTGATGCTCGCGTGCAGGATCCGGGGAAAACCTGCGCCCGTGGGTTTGGTTCAAGCTGAAGAACATGCCCAAGTATGAGATTCCGGAAGGTAAGCTCAAGGAATTCGGGAGCCGTAAGCCTGATGAGCTTGCCCTCCTTAGCTGACGCCCGGGCAGGAATTGTGGTCCAAGCACAGGACAACGGGTGGATGGACGAGAGCGCTGTGCAGACCTGGCTGACCAAGGAGGTGCTGCCCCGTCTGAACCCACAGCGCGGCTTGAACGCGAGGCATGCGATGCTGGTGTTGGACTCCTACTGCGGCCACATCACCCAGACCATGCTTCAAACTTACCGCATGCACAGCATCACCCCTGCAGTGATCCCAGCAAGTTGCATGAGCCAGATTCAACCCCTTGACGTCTCCATCAACCGGTGCTTCAAGGCTGCTGTGCGAGCTCGCTACGCCAGGTGGTTCATGCGTGAAGGGATTCACCTGAAGACAAAGAAGGGTGAGTAGCCTTTTGAAACTTCTGCTCTGTTTTCTTTCCATGTCTCTAACGGCTCGCTACCCCTGCCTCTGTCCCACCTGCAGGGAACCTGCAGAGGCCTCCGCACCCCGTGGTGCTGCAGTGGATCGTGGAGGCGTGGGATCAAGTCCCCAAGAAGGTCATCATTGACGCATTCCGCCACTGTGGGATTTCAAGCAAGATGGACGGGACGGAGAACCACCTGGTGATGTCTCACCTGCGTGCCAGGAGCACCACCAATGTCTCCGATGACATGTGCATCAGGGGAAACATGGGCGACAACACGCGCGTGCTTGGGCAGGCTCCAGAGGAGGAGGAGGAGGAGGAGGAGGAGGAGGAGGAGGAGGAGGAGGAGGAGGAGGAGGAGGAGGAGGAGGAGGAGGAGGAGGAGATGCATGCGGAGGGCGTGAGGGAGGTGGCCGTGGCAACCGGCCTAGAGGTGCTGTACCAGGAGACCCCCAACTACCGCGGAGCGGCGGCTGAGGCTGACCGCATGATCGAGCCTAGGGAGACGGCTAGGCATGCCTGGCGAGTGCCTGACCTGGGTGTTAGGGAGCCTGCTATTTGTTAAGAAACAGCAGGAAGTTAGAAATGAGAAAGAGAGGTTTTACTAGCAAGCAGTTGAGTACATATAGCAAACCCTAAATTGGGCTGTACTCACTATTGAGTACCCCACTGCAGGCTAGACAAACATAACATTCTGACACACCCCCATAGCCAAAGTGGGGTGTAATCAGCACAACAAGCAAGCAAAACACAAGCTCAGGGTGGATCACAATGTCACCACACAATCTGAGCACAAGTACAAGAAGCAGCAGTTTATAGTTCACAAATGTAAGCAAAGCTAGAGGATATCGCAGAGGGCAAGTGTGGAGGAGGAAGGACTATGAGAGGAGAGGAGGTAGTGGGCGGCAGCTGAAGCTGCTGGCACACGGCGCAACTGGAGCAACTGGCACACTGGCAACTGGAGCAACTGGCACACTGGCAACTGGAGCAACTGGCACACGGGCTACTGGAGTAACTGGCTCCGCGGCTAACTCTGAGCGGCAGGAGCAACGGACTCACGGGCGACTGGAGCAATGGGCTCACAGGCGACTGGCGCAACGGGCTCACGGGCGACTGGCGCAACGGTCTCACGGGCGACTGGAGCTGCGGGCTTCACGGCGGCCACCCCCCTTCAACCTCCCCAAACTATCCCACCCCCCTTCCACACACCCCCTGCTGCACCCCTAGGTTCACTCACACTCCACCCCCTAGCACCACTCCGTCGACTCCCACACATCCACCCCCCTCAGCGGCAGCTGCAGCAGTGGGAGACAGAGGAGGAGGAGGAGCAGGGGAGACGACACACCCGCCACCCCCTACTCGCCACCCCCAAACCCTAACACAGGGCAGGGCGGGATGGCGGGTAGGGAGGTTACGGGGGGGGTGACGGGGGCCGACGCGCGGCCTCCCAGGGCGCCAGAAGAGGCGGCAGAAGGGGCGACGCGCGGGCCCCCCCTAGGTCGCGCGGCCCCCTCAGGTCGCAGGGCGTCGCGACGGGCGACGGGAAAAGGGTCGGGGCGGGGCCGCGACAGGGCTGCGACGAGGCCGCGACAGGCGTCGGGGCAGGGCCGGGGCGGGGCCCCGACGGGGCCGCGACGAGGCCGCGACAGAGCCGCGGCGGGCGAAGGGGCAGGGCCGGGGCAGCACCGCGACAGGGCCGCGACGGGGCGGCGTCGGGCGACGGGGCAGGGCCGCGACGGGGGGCCGCGACAGTCGGCCGCGACGGGGGGCCGCGACGGGGGGGCCGCGACGGGGGGCCGCAACGGGGGGTCGCGAAGGGGGGCCGCGACGGGAGGCCGCGACGGGGGGCCGCGACGGGGGGCCGCGACAGGGGCGGCGTCGGGCGACGGGGCAGGGCCGGGGCGAGGCACCGCCGCGCGCCACGGGGCGCCCGACGGTCAGAAAACCGCCGCGCGCCACGAGCGCGCGGCGGGAAGAAAAAAGGGCCGCGCGCCACGGGCGCGCGGCAGGCAGGCGCGCGCTCGAGGCGCGCGACAGGCAGAGTAGTAGCAGCGGAAGTTGATGGTGGGCCCATGCACAGGATCGACCCGTGAGGGTCGACCTGCTCTGAAACCATGTTAAGAAACAACAGGAATTTAGAAATGAGAAAGAGAGGTTTTACTAGCAAGCAGTTGAGTACATATAGCAAACCCTAAATTGGGTTGTACTCACTATTGAGTACCCCACTGCAGGCTAGACAAACATAACATTCTGACACTATTAGTGCAGATGAGGAGGCCGTGACTGAGGGGGGCTAGGTAGAAGTAGAGATTCATAAATGTATGCATGTACCCCTTGAAGTAACTAATGCTCGTTTAGAAGACATCCCCTGTTTATAAGAAAACCCCTAAACCCCTGTTCTGATTATAAGACATATATGTCTTATCTCGTACACACAAATAGGTGTCTTATAATGAGGCTAGTCTGTTTATTAGAGACACCCGGATAATAGACAACCCCCGCTTACTATTCAACACTGTCTACTATCCGGGCGATGACGGTAAGGATCCTTTTCCATTATGGGAGCACTTTGATAATTGTTGAAGAAAATATACTGTAGTAGTGTAGTGTAGCTCTTCGTAGGTAGTACACCACTGCCGTTGACTAATATAAACACCATCAATAGTAGTTTAGTGTAGCTCCTTGTAGGTGGTACATCATTGCCTTTGCCTAGTCTTATTTGTACTCCTCTTCTTTGTAATGCATTCATCTTTCATCTTGATACTCTCGCCACACCCAAACCCTAGTCTCCTAGGTAACATGCCATTACGGTAAGAGTGGTTCCTTCCTCGTTGTGTCCATTGGTGTACCCCCATGGGCTCACGGATTCTTACCCTCATTGCGTCTGTTGGGGCGCTCGTCGCGTCCTCTCTCCCGCCCCCCCTCGTCGCCCCCCGTTGCTTGTTCGCCCCCCGTTGCTTGTTTTCCCCACCCTCGGCGTGATGACTGATTTTGAGGAAGGCAGTGGGAGTGGCGCTGGCCTCGTCGCGACCCTCGTTACGGCCGCGTCTTGGCGTCCCGACGGCCTCGCCCACTTCAGCTCGCTCCCCGCCCTGCTATTTGCCACGCCCTACCACATGCAGACGCTGTGGGGGGGGGGAGATGGCGGGAGCGAGTCATCAGCATCAGCTTACTATTGACGAGAAAAGGACACGCCCTCGCTTGTGCGAAGCCGACTTCGTTGATGGCTAGGCTTCGTGGTCGACGCCGACTTGGAGGAGCAAGTTGGCTTGGTTGGTTGACTTCGGCGGAGGTGACTTGGGCGGTTGACAGACTTTAGTGAAGCCGGCCACTGTGAAGCCAACTTCAACAAACGGCGAAGCCAACTTTGTTGTCCGGCTTAAAAGGTGTGCAGTCGACTCAGAGGAGCAAGTCGGCTTGTGTAGCCGACCATATTGGAGCCGACTTCGGTGAGGCCGACCTTGGTAGTTGGCCGACCTTGGTAGTTGGCCGACCTTGGTAGTTGGCCGACCTTGGTAGTTGGCCGACCTTGGTGAGGTCGGCCACGACGAAGCCGACGACGAAGTCAAGTCGGTGGCCGCCTTTGTCGAAGGGAGAGGCCCCGCCCTCGCTTGGGCGCAGCCGATCTCACCGTCGACAAGAAGTTCTCGATGGAGTGGTCGTCGAGTGGGCTTCTGCTGTTCGACGGAGGTAGCGGTCGAGCAAGCTATGCTCGACAGAATCTGGTCGACATCGTCGACGGGCAGCACTGGTCGAAGACAGCGGCCGAGGAGGCCCGTCGAGGAGCGATGGTCGACGAGGTCCGTCGAGGAGATCTGGTTGACGACAGTGGTCAACGAGGCCCATCGAAGAGTTCTGGTCGAGGAGCTCTGGTCGACGAGCTCTGCGCGACGAGCTCTGGTCGACGAGCTTTGCGTGAACGATGTTCGACCGAGCGACGTCGAGCTGGTCGACCGAATTCGCAGAGGTGTGCGAAATTTGCCCAGGAAGTTTTGGCAAAGTTCGACCTGTGGAACGGCATCACGTGCTCGACAGTGGACACCTGGCAAAACTGACGACACGTTCTCTACCTGGCACCTGCGCAATGTGCCTGACGGTAAAACCGTCAACCTGCACCTACTTGGTAGGTGCGCACATGTGCGCAGATAGTCACATGCGACTGCAGATAGTCACGTGGGACTGCAGCACTGGCAGACCGCGCGCAGTGAAACGCTGGCAGATCGCTCGGCTGCAGCGTTGGCAAGCCGCCCTTCTGCCGCGCTGGCAAAGTTCGCCCTGCAGAGTACGATCACTCGCACAGCCCCGTGCCCTCCTCCGTAGTCCACTCCCGTTGTGCAGTGACTCTTCTCAGACTTCGAGCCTCGGCGGTCGACGAAGGTGTTCGTCGACCTAAAGCCAACTTGCGGGCGCCGACCGACTGGGAAAGTCGGCCGACTCAGCGGCCTGTTCTGGTCGACCGTGTAACATGGTCGACGAAGTTCTGCGAGGTGCGCGAACATCGTCGATGTGGTTTTGGCAAAGTCGACATGAGTGTCGGTAGCACGAGGTCGACGTGGCACATCTGGGAGCAACCGTCGACATTTGGTCGACCTGGGCACCTAGGCAATGTGCCTGACGGGCAACCGTCTACCTGCACCTGCTTGGTAGGTGCACACATATGCGCGCATGGACACATGCGGTTGCAACGCAGGGAAGCCGCCTTGCTGCAGCATTGGCAAGCCGCCCTAGTGTAGCGCTGACAGGTCGCCGACTTGCAGTGTTCGCAAGCCGACTCCCAGCTGCATTGGCACGTCGTTGAATTGCGATGTTGGCATATTCCTGTAGACTCAAGATCACGAAGATGATGATGTTGTGGAAGTTACTAGCGATGAAGCTCGAACCAGCTCCAATATGACCAGGTTAAGCATTCTGGGCCTCGCCATAGATGTCCGTGAAACTCAGCATCCCACCGAACCCATGACAGTTTGCCAAGCCATGCAAGGCCCCGATGGAGAGAAGTGTAGGGACGCCATGGTGGAACGTGGAAACTGGTCCCGCCAGCTGCAAACGGGAGAATAATACCCAGCGGGAAACGGTTACATCGAATAAAGACAAAGGCAGACGACTCCATTGATACATACAAAGTACGATGGGTCGTGCGTGGTTTTAAGCAAATGCAGTTCGCCCAGCACGACCAAAACGCTCCCATCGGACGGCATACATCAATAAAGATTCCAATCTGCATCATCGCCGTCAAACAACTCCCGCTTCGCCTGTTCGACGTCTCCAACGCCTTCTTGTACGCCATCGTCGATGCAATTATCTTCGTCGAGCGCATGCCTTTGAGGAGGACGACTCCATGGTATGCCTTCTCTAGAATTCACTCTACGGCATCAAGCAGGCACCGCGTATGTGGCAGCAGTATCTCCACACATTTCTTATCTAACTCGGCTTCCAATAGCTCCCCCACGACCAATGAATGTATCGCATGGAGTTATGCGGCGACAACATCCTCCTCGTCGTCTACGTGGACGACCCCTTCTACACCGAAACCAGCATGGAGCTACCCGACCGCTGCAAAAGCAA